TTTTTGATGATTTACGGTTTTTTTGTGAGCGCCATGTTATGGTTGGTTTTCTTACAATGATCACCCATAACATGTGTACTAGTCTTTTTATACCCTCCACCATAGTAAGGAGGGTATTTGAAGTTTGTCATTCAGTTTGTAACACCTCGAAATATACATTTTAGACCCCACAATGTATATATATTCTTGATCAGCATAAAATTCTATGACGATTTAGCAATGTCCGTCCGTCTACCCGTCTATCCCTATGTGGAAATCACTCTAGCTTCCGAACGAATTTGAAGTAGATTGATAAAATTTTACTCAAGTGTATATTTTGTCTGCAAGACTTTGGGTATTGAAAATGGACCATATAGGTCCAGGTTTTGGTGTAAGCCCCATATAACAGTACCTCCCGATATTCGGAATTTTAATGAGATTAGCGACAATATTCATCGGAATTCTTTCAAATTTGGTATTTGAAGTTCGTAATGGATACTACAGCCTATGACAGAAAATTGTCTGTGCATGAGCACATCTTCGTATAGCCCTCATATAACGTTACCTCCCGATATTCGGTATTTTGATGATTTTAGCGACATTATTTGCCGGAACTATTTCAAATTTAGTATTTGAAGTTCGTAATGAATACTACAGCCTATGCCAGAAAATTGTGTGATCAGGTCCACGTCTTCGTATAGTCCCCATATAACAGTACCTCCCGATATTCGGTATTTTGATGATTTTAGCGATATTATTTACCGGAATTGTTTCAAATTTGGTATTTGAAGTTCGAAATGGATACTACATCCTAAGACAAAAAATGAGCCATATAGGTCCAAGTCTTCGTATAGCCCCCATATAACGGTACCTCCCGATATTCGGTATTTTGATGATTTTAGCGACTTTATTTACCGGAATTGTTTCAAATTTGGTATTTGAAGTTCGTAATGGATACTACAGCCTATGACAGAAAATTGTCTCTACAGGTCCACGTCTTCGTATAGTCCCATATAACGGTACCCCCGATATTCGGTATTTAGATGACTATAGCGACATTATTCACCGGAAATGTTTCAAATTTGGTATTTGTAGTTTGTAATGGATACTACAGCCTAAGACAGAAAATTGTCTGTGCAGGTCCACGTCTTCGTATAGCCCTCATATAAGGCTACCTCCCGATATTCGGTATTTTGATGATATTAGCGACAATACTCACCGGAATTCTTTCAAATTTGGTATTTGAAGTTTGTAATGGATACTAAAGCCTATGACAGAAATTTGTCTGTACAGGTCCACGTCTTCGTATAGCCCCCATATAACGGTAACTCCCGATATTCGGTATTTTGATGATATTAGCGACAATATTCATCGGAATTCTTTCAAATTTGGTAATTGAAGTTCGTTATGAATACTACAGCCTATGACAGAAAATTGTCTGTGCAGGTTCACGTCTTCGTATAGTCCGCATATAACAGTACCTCCCGATATTCCGTATTTTGATGGTTTAAGCGACATTATTCACCGGAAATATTTAAAATTTCGCATTTGAATTTCGTAATGGATACTACAGCCTAAGGCAGAAAATTGCCTGTACAGGTCCAGGTCTTCGTATAGCCCCCATATAACGATACCTCCCGATATTCGGTATTTTGATGATTTTAGCTCCATTATTCACCGATTTTGTTTTTTTAAGTTTCGCATTTGAATATTCTAATGGCGTACGACAGAAGTTACCTATGCAGGTCCATGTCGTCGTAAAGACCCTAATATAACAGCTACATTCGGTATTTTTAAGATTTTACCCGAATTTTTAACGGATTTTATTATTTTCGAAAATTGCCAAATTCGCTTGAAATAGTGGAGGGTATTCAAAGTTCGGCCCGGTCGAACTTACAGCTTTTTTACTTGTGTTCTCATATTTTCGTTTTTTGTTTTTCTTTGACGTCTTCTTCAAAAAAAGTGCCCTAAATAATACACAACTACAAAAAAAACCAAAACGAGAAGATCGTTAGGTCGTTTAACCGTTGTCTCAGTTCCGTCATCAGCATGGTTGGGTGGGGGGGAAAAATCTTCAAAAATAACTTCATTTACGTACATAGCAAACTATTATCGTTTTTAGTTGTTGTTGCTGTTTTTGTTTTGTTTATTTAAGTAAACATAAATGGCTATTTTGTTGTTGCTGTTGTTGTTATTTCCATGCGCTGTTTGTAACGGCTGACCATTTTAACCACCGCTCAAAATAAAGCAGACCAAAATACCAATTAAAGTTGTTTTGGCGAAATCGAAACACACAAATTAACTTTATTATATGTTTACATTCATACATACATACGTATGTATGTATGTATGTATGTAAGTATGTTCAAACATATGTATGTGCCTATGTCGGTATGCCAGAGACTGCACATTTTTACAAGTCATTGACATTTTCTGTTGCAACAGTTGTGGCTGACGGTGAGAGATGCCAGTTTTGAGAGTTTCTGAAGAAGGTCTTCTACCAGCGGACGGTGGTTTTGAATTCAAAATATCTGACCAAAATAACCAAGAAATAAGTAAAATAGTATCAGTCGGTTTTGCCGGAGGATTTATACCCCCAACCTTAAGTTATAATTATTCAAAGTGTTGAGTCTTTTGTGGGGGAGATTCCGAAGCGTTTGGCCAATATTGACCAATTCGTATCCGACCTAAGACTGACATAAAAATTTTACAACGTGCCAAATTTGGACTATATCTACTACTTCCTATACTTTATATGCGACATGCGCAAATTTTTCGAAATGGAAATATGCTGGAGGTAACAGCGTACCGAAGTACTACATTTTCATACCTCATATATTACAGATCAAAAAATATTGATATGCGCCAAATTTGAAGGAAAATCTTACATTTATATCCTATTTTGTGCAAAATTATAAATTCCATATTCATCTCAATTTTGACCCTTTGTGGGGGACGTACCCGAAGGAGTGGACCGATATATTCCATCTTTACACCAGACCTTGGGTTAACGAAAATATTGGGTTGTCTGAAATATGAAGACAATCGAATGCTTATTTCGAATTTTATAATCGTTTTGGTTATTCAAAATTTTGACCCTTTGTAGGGGAGGAACCAGTAGGAATCTTCCGATCTTCACCATCTTTATAAGAGATCTTGTGTTGATGGAAATATTGTGATGTACCAAGTCTGAATTGAATCGGTTGTTAATTTCGTGTTTTATGAGCTTCATGAATATTCAAAATTTTGACCCTTTGTGGGGGACGTACCAAAAGGAATGGTCCGAAATATCCCATCTTTACACCAAACCTTGGGTTAACAAAAATATTGTGATGTGTGTAATTTGAAGAGAGCCGGATGATTATTTCGGATTTTATAATCGTTTTGGTTATTCAAAATTTTGACCCTTTATGGGGGAGGAACCAGAAGGAATTGTCCGATCTCTACCATCTTTTTAACAGATCTTGTGTTGATGGAAATATTGAGATGTACCAAGTCTGAATGAAATCGGAGGTTAATTGTGCGTTTTATGAGCTTTACGGATATTCAAAATTTTGACCCTTTGTAGGTGAGGTACTAGAAGGAGTGGATTGATACATTCCATCTTCACACCACATTTTGGGTTAATAAAAATTTTGTGATGTGTGTAATTTGAAGAGAATCGGATCCTTATTTCGGATTTTATGGTCGCTTGGTTATTTAAAATGTTAACCCTTTGTGGGGGAGGAACCAGAAGAAATGTTCCAATCTCCACCATCTTTATAACAGATCTTCTGTCTACGGAAATATTGAGATGTGTCAAGTCTGAATGCAATCGGATGTTAATTTCGTTTCACGGAAATTCAAAATTTTGACCCTTTGTGAGGGAGGTACCAGAAGAAGTGAACCGAGCTCCACCATCTTTATAACAGATTTTGTGTTGATGGAAATATTAAGATGTACAAAGTCTGACTGGAATCGGATGTTAATTTCGTGTTTTATGAGCTTTATGAATATTCAAAATGTTGACCCTCTGTGGGTGAGGTACCAGAAGAAGTGGATCGACATATTCCATCTTCACATCAGACCTTGAGTTAATAAAAAAATTTGGGATGTGTGAAATTTTATAGGATTCTTGTATCACATTTTATAAAAATTATAATTATTCAAAATTTTGATCCTTTGGGAGGTAATTGATAGAGTCAACCGATGTTGTCCACACCTGACCTAGCACCGATGCAAAATATTAGAATTTGCAAAGTTGAAACAAAATCGGATTATCCTTTCTATGTACGTGCAGTTAAATATTTTTTATTTGAAAATTTAGATTTTTTTTTTTTGGGGGGGGGGGAGGGAGTTACCAGAAGCTGTGGGCACATATTGCTCAACTCCGAACTTCATCTAAGTTTGACAATAATATTACTATGTACCAAGTTTCGGATACTCCCTTCGAGAGTTATCGTGAGTACTAGCCAGCAGACGGACAGACGGACGGACATCGCTAGATCTACTCCAAATATTCTGAAACGGATTTGGTCCAAAGAGACCTAGGGTCTAAAATAATTATTTCGATGAGGCACGTTTTGGCCGTATCATATGATATATACCCTCTTCTAGCCACATAGCTGAGGGTATAAAAAGTGATGAAGAGAAATATTGCTCCTCCTTCTGTTAAAAAGTCCTTATTTTGTATTGAATGAGTTGTTAGGCCCTAAATTAGATCGTTAATGTCTCTGGTGCCTATAGCTATAAACGCAACGCCAATCTGGCGCCCAATGTGGGGCATTGTAAATTGTTCTTATTATCACTTAATTATTAATTAAAAAATAAATTAAGCCGATAGCTAGATGGATGGCCAATTCAACATCTAAGTGTGGAGGCTGTTTTTAAGAAAATTTGGAGATTTTCTTTTCCAAAATCAAATGATGGCATCCCTACTCACCCCCCCTAAAAAATTATGCATTCCTCACTTACACACACGCCGAAGCTTTGCAGTTTCTCCTTATCTCTGAATGACGAACAAAAAGGTGCATCACACTTACCTCGTGAACGTCCTGCTTCGCAAACAGCTGCCAATGATGCCAATATTAATGCGACGACAATAAAAAGCCTTAGCCATCGTTGATCATGCCCCGCCATATCTTTCCGGTTGTGATTTAAAGGCAAACAGCATCAAAATTTCCAAAACGAGATTATTTTAATGTTGTTGTTGTTGCTGCTGTTGATGGTGATGTAGGAGCAGCAGCAGCTGGTGTTGATGTTGGTGATGGTAGCAATGTCGTTTGTCTGTTTGTATATGTTTTTGTGAAATTGGTTTGCTCTGCTCGAACAGGAAATGAAAGAAAAGAGAAAATATTTTTTTTTTGTTGAAATTAGCAAGAAAAGTAAAATTAAAATAAAATCAGGCTGATATATGGGGGGAGATTAAAAAACAAATTTTAAAAAATGTTGAAATATTCAAAAAAAAAAAAAAATAAAAATAAAATTGAACTGGGATTAAATCATATCCTTTTTGTATTTGAGGCAAATGGCAACTCCCTCAAAGATTAAACTTAAAATATTAGTAAGTGAAATATAGAGTGCATTCCTCATAAATATAAAATCTATTAGAGGAATAACAAGTAAAAAAGCTGTAAGTTCGGCTGGGCCGATCTTTGAATACCCTCCAACATTTGGAACGAGTTTGGCAATTCTCAAAACAATAAATCCGTAAAAAAAACAATAAAATCCGTTAAAAACTCTGTTAAAATCTTAAAAATACCGAATGTAGCTGTTATATAAGGGTCTATACGACGACATGGACCTGAATATAAAAATGAGAAACTTAAAAAAATCGGTAATAATGTAGATAAAATCATCAAAATACCGAATATCGGGAGGTACCGTTACAGGGGGGCTCTTCGAAGACGTGGACCTGCACAGACAATTTTCTGTCTTAGGCTGTATTAGCCATTACGAACTTCAAATATAAAATTTGAAATAATTCCGGTGAGTAAATTCGCTAAAATCACCAAAATACCGAATATCGTGAGGTACCGTAAGGGGCGGGGGGTCTCTTCGAAGACGTGGACCTGCACAGAAAATTTTCTGTCTTAGGCTGTAGTAGCCATTACGAACTTCAAATATCAAATTTGAAATAATAACGGTGAATAAATTCATAATACGGAATATCGGGAGGTATAGTTATATATGGGGGCTATCTCAAAACGTAGACCTACATGGCCCATTTTCAATACCAAAAGCCCTGCGCACATAACATACATTTGAGTAAAATTTTATCAATCTACTTGAATTCGATCGGAATTGATCCGTAAAATCGGATAAAGATGTGTATCGAAGGTAAATACAAATCTGAACCGATCTCGATCAAATTTGGCAGAGATGTTTTCGATCTGTATGTGATGTCCAGCATCAAATATCTTTGATACTGGAGTGTCTTTTATGCATTTGAGGGACTTAAAACCCCAAATCGGATGAAACATATACAGGGTGAGATAAAAAAACTGCAACAAAGTCAAACGCCATGATTTTTTTTTTTTTAATTTTATTGAATGAAAGCAAAAATGTCGGAAATGGCATCAAATTTCAGAATAAGTTTAGATTTGTTCGAATTGGTCACCATTGGCACGAATTATGGCCTTCAAACGGCCAATAAAACCATCACACGCCGAATGTTGCTCTGCGGTATTTTGGCCCATTCCTGGTGAAGCGCTTGCTTGAGGTGATCGACACTTTGGTATTTTTCAGTGCCAACCTTGCTTTCCAAAATTCTCCAGACCAATTGGTATCCGGAAAATTTGGTGGCCATTGTATTTGGTGGAAATGAAGCGAGGAACCTCATTTTGTAACAAATCTTGGGTGGCGCGTGCTGAGTGCGATGGTGCTGAGTCCTGTTGGAATGTCCAAGGTCTGCGGCCAAAATGTTTGCGCGCCCAAGGCTTTAATACACCCTCCAGAATACTTTCACGATAATATTTGGCATGAATTCTGATGGCACGGTCAATTAATAAAAGCAGAGAGCGACCATCGGCTGTTATGGTGGCCCACACCATCACCATGGCCGGCGCTTGAGTTCTGGTGGCCAACCGAAGGTGCACATTTTCAGCTGACCTCTTTGGCAAGTAAACACGACCATTTTGTTTGTTTACAAACTGCGGGACAACGAATGTTTTCTCATCGGAGACGGAGAAACCCAAATTCAGCAGTTCGCCACTTTCGGCCCAGCGAAGTAACTCTTTATCTCTTTTGAGTCTATTTTCTTTCTGTTGCGGTGTAAGTTCTTGCACTTTTTGGAATTTCAATGGCTTTACCCCGAGCACATTTCTCAATATTTGCCGAATGGAATGGAAAACTGCGATATGTTGAGCTCACGAGCAATTTTTTCAGCCACAGCGATCCGGGTTTCGTTCAAGTCGCTTCTTTACTTTTCAAACCATTCCTGCTGATGTTGCTGCTTTCTTCCGTCCACATTCACTTCCTTGACGTCGGCCTGCGCTACCGCGGTATCATGTAATGGGCTATGGTACGAGACACAAAAGATTTATTTACATTTAAATGCTGGAGAGCTCTAACGATAGCCACTTGTGATTTGCCAGCCAAATATAAAGAAATCTAACTATTACGCTTGAATTCCATCACGAATAACTTTTTTTCTGGAAAATTTTGTACGCTTCTAAACAATATATCGAGCTGTCACCGGAATTAATAATAACATTTGTCGGACGAGTGGCTAAGAAATGACAGCAGTCTGAAGTTGGTTGCAGTTTTTTCATCTCACCCTGTACATGCTTTGTTAGGTCTAAAATAATTATTTCGATGAGTTACAAACGAAATGACGAACTTAATATAACCTCCATACTATGTATGGTGGAGGGTATAAAAAAATAAATAAATCTAAAGTGGGAGGAAGATCTAAACCAGGCCATTTAAAGCTGAGACCATGGTGGAAACTCTCACATAAATTTAACATAAACTATTCATAAACGTGGTATAGAGGGCGTTCTTCAGAGTTGGAAAATGGAGTTATCTCCAACCGCAACAACTTTTTCATTTATTTCCATGATTTTTATTTTTTGGAAGACACTGACCTGGACTCTTTTCAGTATTCAATTGAAATTGTTTAATTTTCATAGAAATTATTTTGAAAAACACATATAACCAAGATCCCGATTTTGGAAAGAATCAAAGGTGACATATAGAGGGCAGCCCTCATAACACAAATAAGAAGTTATCTCTCCAATTTAACGATGTTTTCTCTCATTCTCCTCTCCTCCAAACTCAGTCTTAAAATCTTCTCAGTGTGGAAATATAATCTTCATATTCATTTTGTTATTGAAATGTTATTGTTTATTTGCCTTAAAAATTATTTAAAAAAAATATTTTAAATAAATAAATGCTCGGTTTCTTTTGTCCATATTCTAGAAAGAAATCAAAAGTGAAAAGCCCGACTGATTATGCATTGTTTGTCATAAACACATTTGGATTTGAGGTAGGTAAGCAACACCTTGGCCAGTTGCCATACGTCAAGTCATGTATGTACTCCGTCCTCTTATATGGTGACCAACCACAAACATACTCACAGACAGATAGATACACACAGCCAACTACTCATCGGTAAGTGAACATCCATAAGATTGCGGCGGTGAATGCGTCGGCATCGAGTTTTAAGGAAAAAAAAAACTTTCACTATTATTTCGAATTGTTTTTTTGTTTTTGTTTTATATCAAAAGACGACAGAGCGATATCACAATGGCCAGCAATGGTAGGAGATAGTGAACGATTAGTGATCAAAAGCCATGTACGAATGTGTGGATATACATACAGTCATGGAGATAAGTAAAGTTTTCTAGCCACACACCGTCGATGGCCCCACCATCACCTATGTTAAATGTAAGAGTGTGTGTAGCAAAAAAGCACTTAACACATTCTTAACAATTAGTGAATGACGATTCTTTATGATCGTGTGAAAAGTGCTATTAAGAGATTTACACACACACATACATAGATATACATACATACATTTGTAAAAATGTAGTCGAATTATCTTTCGCCATGGAAGTGCATTAAAATAATAAAAAAACGAAGACAAAAACAAAAAGAGAAAATAGAGGAGCAGAAGAAATCTTCATCACGTGTTTGCTCTTAACTGTAATTGCAAAAATGGTTAATAATTAAAATGCTCGAAAGATGAATGGTGCACAGTGGCTCGAAATGAAGAAAAGAGCAACAGGACTTTTCTGAGAGAAGAGCAACAGGTCTTTTCTGAGAGAAGAGCAACAGGTCTTTTCTGAGAGAAGAGCAAATGGTCTTCTCTGAGAGAAAAGCAACCAGTCTTCTCTGAGAGAAGACCAATTGGTCTCTTCTATGAGAGAAGACTAACTGGTCTCTACTATGAGAGAAGACCAACTGATCTCTACTATGAGAGAAGACCAACTGGTCTCTACTATGAGAGAAGACCAACAACTGGTCTTCTATGAGAGAAGACCAACAACTAGTCTTCTATGAGATAAGACCATCAACTGGTCTCCTATAAGAAAAAAGAAAAAACTGGTCTTCTATGAGAGAAGACCAACAACTGTTCTTCTATTAGAGAAGACCAACAACTGTTCTTCTATGAGAGAAGACCGACAACTGGTCTTATATGAGAGAAGACCAACAACTAGTCTTCCATGAGAGAAGACCAATTTGTCTCTTCTATGAGAGAAGACCAATTGCTTTTCTATGAGAGAAGAGCAAATACTCTTCTCTGAGAGAAGAGCAAATACTCTTCTCTGAGAGAAGAGCAAATACTCTTCTCTGAGAGAAGAGCAAATACTCTTCTCTGAGAGAAGAGCAAATACTCTTCTCTGAGAGAAGAGCAAATACACTTCTCTGAGAGAAGAGCAAATACTCTTCTCTGAGAGAAGAGCAAATACTCTTCTCTGAGAGAAGAGCAAATACTCTTCTCTGAGAGAAGACCAACTGGTCTTCTATGAGAGAAGAGCAACTGGTCTTCTATGAGAGAAGAGCAACTGGTCTTCTCGGAGAGAAGAGAAACTGGTCTTCTATGAGAGAAGAGCAACTGGTCTCTACTATGAGAGAAGACCAACAACTGGTCTTCTATGAGAGAAGACCAACAACTAGTCTTCTATGAGATAAGACCATCAACTGGTCTCCTATAAGAAAAAAGAAAAAACTGGTCTTCTATGAGAGAAGACCAACAACTGTTCTTCTATGAGAGAAGACCAACAACTAGTCTTCCATGAGAGAAGACCAATTTGTCTCTTCTATGAGAGAAGACCAATTGCTC